ACAGTATGGAGTGTGCACTGGTAGTTGGAGATGTGCCAGTTTCCTTCCTCAGCACTGCAGAAGTGCCCCTGAACAAGGCACTGAATCCCTAACTGCTCCAGCGACAGCACAATGTGACAGCCAATGTGTGTGTGTGTATAGGTGTGTGTGTGTGTGTGTGTGTCTGAAAGTAAGAGTGAGAGAGAGAGAGAATGTATTCCAGGCCTATGTGTGTAATATAGAAAATATTATTGTCATTAATGTTAGAAGACTAAATTACACTGTTTTAGTATAGGTGTATTTTGTGTATCTCAAAATAAGTGTTTTTGATAATAAAAGTTATCAGTATTGACACTTAACCTGTTGAGAGCAGAATGAAGAATTGAACAAATGAGTTCGACTTGAATGACCCTCTGGGCTTTCAAATAGAATTACATTAGTTTACCACATGCCTTATCTAATGAAGACAGGTCTCTAAGCAACACAGTCTCATCTTCAGAGCATTGATACTGAGCCTGTGTCAACCACACAGATGTGTGTGTGAACCTATAATGAACCTGTCCTCATTATTTCTCAAGAGGATATTGCTTGCTTTGTGTCTCCTTCACTCGTCATGCAAAATGCATCATACATAATGCAACACGTGCACAAATGCACTGAATTACTCATGCAGAAAGAAAAAAAAATACACACATGTAAAGAGGTACTCAGACCTAAACCCACCCACAAGTGTGCCAACTGTTCGACTGGCTGAACACACACACAGAAACAAGCAAACATGTGACCAGTAGAGTACATTTTCTCAGAGAGTGTTTGTGATGCTGGTGACTCAGTCCTGTGTTTTAAAGTGTTTGTAATGCGGGTGACTCAGCCCTATGTTTTGTTGTTGGGTTAACCATGTTCACTTCCTTCTGCTCCAGAAGGCAGTGGCAGGCAGTAGACACTACTACAGTCTGATAGGTCAACACCTTACTGGTTTCATGGAGATGTTTGATTTAAATAATCATAAACATTCAACAACAGTGGTGGCTGTTTGAGGGGCTGGTGCAAATTAAATAAAAAGGGCACCAGCATGCAGACAGTTGTGATACATTTATGATGAAACAGGTTACTTAGGGTTAGGATTTGCACACTAGTGTCAGTGTTTTCAAACAGGGGTCCTTGAGTGGGTTGTAGGGGGTCTAATTTGCATCTTCTATGGGGGTCTTTGACATGAAAAAGTTTGGGAACCACTGCCCTAGACCTACGTTTTCTCCCACCCCAAATGGCACTTTATCATGTTTTATCCGTTATAGGGACATCCAAGAGGGCACTTTTTTTAACATGGGGCACCACAGGGGTTGATTGGGGGACTCAACTATTTCTGCAATGCAATGTCATCCAGCAATCAAATATGCAAGCACATGTTCCTGGCAGATTATTTGTCACATTGTGACTGAGGATAAAATAATTGCTTCCATGATTACAACAAATTGACCAGCATTAGGTTCTAAATGAAGAGAAAAGTGTTTATTCATATTAGAACAGCATATTTACTAAAAACTTGCCTATTGTTATTAGGATTTCCATCCTGCCTGCCCCCTGCACTGTGTGTATTTTTCAGACAGTCCTTGTTATTAATGACACCAGTGGCCATTGCACGGGCGGCTTTGGCTCAGAGGTAGAGCGGGTCGTCCATTAATCGGAAGGTTGTTGGTTCGATCCGGCTGCAGTGTCCTTGAGCAAGATACTGAACCCCAAATGTGTAAAAGGGCAAACGTGACATGTAGTGAAAAAAGCGCTTTGAGTGGTTGGAAGACTAGAAATGACTATACAATTATATATTACTATATTCATGCACTGCTCCCCACCAACATTCCCTGCTAGGGTAGTTCTAGGCCTGAAAACCTCCTCCCAGCAGTATATAGCTCCTGTGCTTGCAACCCTCCCCCAGTGCTCTCAGCTCCCAGTCCAGGTAGAATCAGCAAAACTGAGCTACCAAAAGCTAAAATTAGCATAGTTAACAGTTACTTTAATAAACTTTATTTTACTTTAGAAACAAGTAAAGCCGTGCATCTATCAGGAACGTCTACCAAGTAAAGAGAGAGAGGGGATGAATTCGGACTGCTGTGGTTAGGACTTGATATGTGGTATGTGCTCGAAATGGTGATCTACTGGGGAACCCAACAGCAATTGTTTTGAACCCAGTCCACAAAATTATGGCGCACGTTTCAAAAGGATTGCGTGATAGTAATACTTATTTATCTATGGATTCCACCTTTAATTAATTGATTTTAATTAACAGATTTCCTTGTGTAATTAATTTATTTTTAATAATTCTGTATATTGTGCAGGTTCAAAACAGTGTGCAAGGTCAAATCATGTGCAAGAGAACTGATTCCAACCCCCACTAGGAGTAGCCAAAACATCATGCCATGCACATTGATATACTGTAGGCCTATATCTCAGCATTTCCTTTGTTTCTGTGACGAAAACTAAATGAAATTGTTATCTTTAAATAATGAATTAATATTTAAACTCAGCACAAGCTATATACACAGAGCCTTTACTCTCAGCTAAACAACCTCCTCCTGAATTAGAAATATATGCAATTAAAACAGCCAAAAAGGTAATAGAACAAGCATCGGGGGCAATTGACAAAAAAGGAGCTTATTGTTAAAAATCATACATAGAAACGAAAATAACTAACTTATTGTTAAATATTAGATCAAATAATCTGCTCATAATTCCCAAAAATGACCACTAAATTCAAAATGGCCAACTTCCTTTTGGGTTTGGGGTATGGGTCCAAGAGGCTTTTTTGTATGTCTGGGCATGATATACATGTGTACCGATTTTCATACATATTGGTGCAACATGCCACTAGAGCTAGTCTAGGGGGCGCTGTCAAGCCACACACAGTTTTGCCACACACGTGCACGACATATAGAATATCTAATTTTTTGACTATGACTGATATGTGTGCCGCGTTTCATAAGTTTTGGCAGAAAAATTATTTTAAAAAATGATCATTTTCAATAGGGCCTTCAGGGCACTTTGCTGCTCGGGCCCTAAATGCCCATAAAATAAGTCTCTTAGTCAGGTTACTCAATGGGGTCCCTTAAGGAAAAAGGTTGGGAACCACCGACTGCTAGAGGCCTCTACAGGTGCCTTCCTCTTTAAGCAGTCAGAGCCAAAAATGAATGACAATGATACACACATCTGTGGTCTTAAATTCTGACTGTGATTAAAAATCACTAGTTATCATTTTAAGCAAGTGGGAATTTAAAAGTATGTGTGAGGGCTGTAGGAAGAAGCTGTGGTAGAGGATGTGATGTTGGACAGGGAGGGCTGTGGGGAGTTCAATGGCCTGTCTGGCCTTCCCCTCTTCAACTTTGTTCCACCCCAGGGCCTCTGGGAAATGTAGTCTCACAGAAATGCAGGCTACCTTATTATACGTTATTGTTTTAGGTATATTAGTATATACCCTAATCTTACACAATTACACACGTATTTCTGCTAAACATGATCGAATTGTGCAGTGCTTTACTGTTCATATTTACATTAATTAGATTACTTTTGTTTTAATGATAGGACTACATATCCCACGCTGATTTCCGTTTCGTGCGCCGTGAGCGGAGACAAGGAGGCGAGTTGGTGGAAAATGAGTGGAGGGAGGCTGTTATCTGAGGGTGAAATTATACATTTGTTTTGATCAAAGTCGCAATTATGTCTTTTTTGAACGTGGACCGAACTGCTCCGGGGGAAATTTGCTGACACTGGAGGATTTGCAAAGCATTTTAAAACGGTTTTATTTGAAGAGTGCCAGAGACCCACCGATATCCGTTATTTTTTCCGCAGCCAGGATGCCGCGGGACAACAAAACTCCTCTTATCCATAAAATCGCAAAACAAGCCTATGCCATCTTTAAGTCGGCGGCCAACGGGGATAACAATGTCGTCGCAGACAAACAGACTGAACTAATCTCTTTAGTGACTGCGGTCAGGGCTGCCGACCTCAAAATTGCACCCCGGAAAACCAAACCGAGCTCCGTGGCAGCGGGGCTCCAAACCCCCCCTGTTACCTACATGCACATCTGCGAGACTGAGGTGTTCAGCATGGGGGTTTTCCTGCTGAAGACCGGCGCCTCCATACCGCTGCACGACCACCCGGGCATGAACGGGATGCTAAAGGTCTTTTACTGCTCATGTATTATCCTTTTGCCTTTTGTTGCCCCATTGTAGCCACTGTCTGTGTTCTTTCTCTTAAACTGTACTCTGTTTAAGCTAGCTATAGCCAGCTGTAACGTTAAAGGGCCAATGTGTAACATTTAGGAGGATCTACTGGTACATATGGAATGTAATATTCATAGGTATGTTTTCATTAGTGTATAATTACGTGGAAATATGAAGAATTGTGTATTTATTACCTTAGAATCTATGGAGGGAGCAGGTCCTCTGTTATAGAGGCCACCATTTTGAACCGCCATGTTCTACAGTAGCCCAGAAAGGACAAAACAAACACAGTCTTCTAGATCAGTCAGTGTTCTCTATCAGGCTTTCCAAGTACCACCATTATGACTAATGTTAATACTATGCAAGGGACAATATGAAAATTTCATGAAATTTTGCATATTATACACAATATCTGGTAAGAAGTAGTCTCCCCCTTGTCCCCTTGTTCAAATCAGGGAACCAATATAGGACTGAATGCTGGCAAGCTAGACAGCTTCTTCAAGTCAAGCCATGAGATGATATTCATGGTTATACTGATTCGCGATTATCACAATAATGGAAATTCACCACGATAAATGAGTGTTTTTTAATCTGAAATACGAGAATATTTTGCCCAGCCCTAGTTATGGTGCGTTCGTTTTGTCTCGTAATCGCGACTTGCAGCTCGAGGGACGTCACACTCCGTGTTGGGAAAACGACTAAGCGCGCTTTTTTGCGTTCCGTTTGGCACACAACCACGATAGTCGGAGGAAAGACGAAGCCTCCAGTAAAGTCGCTATAGTATAGGTGATTATCTGCGTTTACGGGCAACCCCACTGCGGATTTCACATTTCACATGTTCACATTACATTATACACAATCATATTCACAGTTTGATATCTGAATATTCCGTTTGATTAACGTTTACGCTACAGAACGCTCTGCTTTCTGCTCAAGACTCGGCATGTTGTCATAGCACACATGGAGCGTCTCTAGCCAATTTCAGCTCACAAGGCTACAAAATAACTAAATTATGGCGGTATTTAACCACGATAATACAGACTGTAGCGACATGCCTATAGGTAACAGTATACAGTCGCTATTGTACGACTTCTTCATTTGGTTACAACAAAGACAAACACGCTTAAAAATAGTAGAAACCCACCATGTTTTACGTACGTGTGATGCCCGGAGTAGCCATCTTGGTAACTGAACTCGGGTCCTCTGATGATCTGAGAGACTTCACGAGTCGTTTTTTCCGACCTCCAGGCCGTGCTATTGGCAACTTCCCGTTTCGTAACTCAGGAAACCGACTGCCGGAAGATCGAGTGTCGCGTGAGCAGAACACGAACTGGCGGGCCAATAAATAACAGTAGCCGCAGGGCCCGTTAGGGTAGGTTGAAGTTGATTCCTAATCAAAGAAAAACGATTTAATTCATTGTGACTGTTGATGCAGCAGCGTTACTCAAGAACTAGAACTGAGTTTGTGCAGTGCGTACTCCAACTTTCCTCCCAAAAGTTCCCATTTGAAGCACAATTGCAGGCTGTTTGAACCATTCATCACAGATTAGCTTGTACTAATAATTGAATGTATCGCTTGCGCTACAGATCAATTCTCCTCTGGTTCTTTTAAAATGCTAAAGATGATAGCTGGCCATCTAATATACTGGTGCCCACAAGTACAGAATCTCATGTGCTGTGAATTTAACTTTCCTGTGAAATACATAAAATGTGTCATCTGTCAGCTCTTCTGATTGGTGTTTCTAGGCGTACGTCACTACTCGCAAGCCTTAGCGCCAAAGTCTGATGTATAATGCTGTCACTATTGATATCCTCTACATTGACTTGTTCACACCTAACGGTGGATGATGTACAGCAAATCAGACCTGACCAGTGCTTCAAACTGTCGGGCAAAAAAGTTCGAGTCAGACTCAGATAGCCTCAATTATGAGCATAGCAATCAGATGTT